GGCGACACAGAAGCCAACTATCAATTCTTCTTCTGTCAACGTTTAATATTAACGGTCAATTCTTGTTCTTTTCCGCATAGTGCTTAACAGAACGTGACATTCTACGCAGGACGTGACAATTGACGTGAGATTCGACGCAGGACGTGACATTTGACGTGAAAAAACGCGACATTTTGTGACAAAACTGCAGCAAGGTCTTTACGCCTTTCGAAAACTACCACAAACTACATATTCATTAAGATGTATTCAGCCTACACCATCGATAGCAACAACACCAGCGGAAGTATGAAAAGTGAAATAGACAATGTCTTTGCAATGTCTTGTGTACTATTAGGATCTGTATTTACCTTAATTTTAAAAATTATTGTTGAAATTGTAAAGAGAAAATTTGAATTTTCATGTAATATAGGACTTGAACAGTAAATAAGGTGTTTAAATAAAATTACATATTTTATTAATACATAAAAATTACAAAGCCATTATTGCACATTTCTTTCGGTACATGAAAATAGTCCAACGGCATGGCAGGGATTCGCAGCTACTTTTCCAGTAGCCCTATTCATACCATCAAACTTGCAAACATCAATAATAAGGGGGAAAACTCCACAGATGTGACATTCCTTGCTTAAAAATGCATCCTTCTGTTCTCCTCAAACGTAGATGTAATCTTCTGCATACAACAAGTTGATTTCAAGTATTTCATTTATTTGGACAATTCTACTTCTCCAAGTATCGAATACCAAGCAGTTTTTTAGCATTACTTAGCGCATTGAATGGTTTCTGTGGCAAAAAGATATAATGACTTCGTTTATAACCTATTTTAATGGGAAGTTCTTTGGGAACAAACCACCCGATAATCCTTGGAAATGTTAAAACATGCTTAAGACGCATCTGTATGTTGAATGAATGATCAGCAGCGTTTAGAATTGGATACTTGGGATAATTCCAGCCTGCCATTGCCATATGATTGAAATCTTCTTGAGTGTAACATGTCATGGTACGTACAGCACTTACAATACCAGGATCCCACAATGTTTCCATCTCCCTTGCGCTTTCGCTGTACGTACACGAATCGAACAAAAAAGCACCAATATTCTTTGCTAGTTTGATTAACCAGTTCCGTTTATTTCGAGCGATCCTTTAATGCATAATAACGTTTCGCTCATTGCAAAAAACGAGTCAAATTTATTAATGCTAAATTCGACAATATCATTGCAGTTGAATGATTTGATGAATGGCACATAGGTTAGGTAATCAGCCTTTCGAGTCGACTCATTAAATACTGCCTTACGATAAATATCAAATATTGGAGGCAGTATTATGTTGTTGTTGTTTAAACGTGCTCGTTTTCCATACATTGTAGTCATTTTTTCAGTTTAAAACCAAGCGATTGTAAAAACAATTTGTTCGCGAACGTAAAATGTTGCCGCTTAGACGAAGCAGTTGATTGTCCTATTATTAGTACCATCTGCTTCCCGATCTAAGTTCCAGCACCAATGTGCTTTGTTCTCCCCTTCCTTCTTGATCGACAGCTAACACATCGATATTGGTAATTTCACGCTGTGGCACAACGTGTAAATACAACAAATTATGAGCAGTTTCATCAGTTGCGTACCCAGGATCTGCTTGTATGATAAATTCGTAGATTGTGTGAGCAGGTCTGTTACCGTCGAAGGCACCAGTACTAATGTTACATTCAAAGCGTATCCTAGATACTTTATTATTACTAACAGGTAGATCTGAATGCGTTTGTCCGGGATAGAGTATTGTAAGAGAAAATTCCAATATTGTACCAAGACTATCAGGCTGCGTAAATGAAATTCTATATTTGCTAAAAATTTAGCACTGCAACGTGTTGTGGTTAGGTTTTAGACTAAATATCGTTTCCGGTTTAAGCTCATAGTCGGAACCCAATTTCTTTTGTATGTATTCTTCAACGTCGACAATTTCATAACATCCTTCGAAAAAAGCAAAATTTTGCTATCGGTTATTATCATTGTAGTAAAACGTGCAATTTTTAATGTTTGGTATACTGTTGGAGAATGGAAAAATCGGAGAGCTATTTCATAATCATTTTTCGGATCCACCACGATCAGTGTGGGAGGTTGAAATGAGAATATATAGTTGGCGATATCTACTCTCAACAACTGCGTCATGATGACTGATTCAAGGCAATATGTTAATAGGTTTATATATATATATATATATATATATATATATATATATATAACAGTAAAAAAAAGAAGTACTTGTGACTCGTTTGGAAAAAATATATAAATATGTTTTGGATGGGTTGGAATCAATAAAAGGGGCTATTAGGTAACTATTTTTTATCTAGAGCTTCCAATTGTATCAAGAGCTGCTAAAAAATACAAAATATCTTACAAAGTGGAACTAGAAAAAAAAATTATATCAAGTCACCAAATAAAATTAGTTTCGTTAATAAATTTATGCTGCTAAACATATTTCAAAAAACTATTCTAAAAATTAGTCTATCTAATAAATGTTTCTCGTAATTTTGTAGTATAATTTTGAAAAACTTTTTTAACACAAAAATAATTGAATTTATAAAGAAGTTAGAATAGTGACCAATTACAAATAAGCCTCAATGTCAAGAATGCCTTGACTTAAATTTTTTATTTTCGATAATTATATTGCCAAAAACTAAAATTTTGTTTACAGATTCTTTGTTATTTAGTAATAAAAAAGATTTATTCATCATTGATAGATGCCTAAAAAATAAAACAAGTATATGGAAAATTAAATTGAAATGTGATATTTTACTGGTTTTATAATAAACTATAGAGAAATAATATAATTAAAAATGTTGCTTAGATTTTGAATTTCTGATCTTTTGTTGAAATTATTAACACTTCTGCTAATACAAACCATTTCTAAAAAAGTCCTTTTAAATTTATTACTTTGGTTACACAAAATTTTAATGTTACCAAAATCTATAATATGGTCTTTGTCGATTACATGCTCTGCTAAAGCACTAGATGGTTTTTTAATTCTACAATTACTTTTGTGGGAAATAATGCGATTTGACAGATTTCTTCCGGTCTCACCAACATACACAGCTTCACACTGAGTACAACTAATGCTGTATACTACATTGGTTTTATCTAATTTGTCTATAGGATACTTTGTTTTGGAATATAAGGATGAAATAGTTTTGATGTTCTTTGTTGATATTTTTATATGGTCAATAACCTTTAGTGTTTGTATTAATTTAGGTGTTAATGATGGTACAAAAGGTAGTGAATGATAATAGATGTTCTGATTGTTGGATGCAATGTTCTGAGATTAAGTAAAAAATTATGTTAAGTTATTTATATTAACAATATTAGAAAAAAAGCAATCTAAAATACAAAGATGACATAGAGTTTATACGAAATACAGATCTAATAATTTATAATTTACAACTCAATATGTAGTATTAAAGATGTTATTAAATATGTACTTAAGTTTACTCATTATTTAGAACTAACTTAAAAAAACAGAAACAAAGAACACAAAAACTTTGCAAAAAATAATATCATTCGCAGAAACGAAGATTTAAAAAAAAATTTAAACGTACATTTGGCTTCATTTAGAGATGGTTCTCCAATGAAGACAAACAAAACACTGATTTATTGCAATCTATGCAAAAGACGTGACGCGATACCGAAAATTTTTAAGGGCCATATGTTCAACAAATTCCAAGGTTTGAGATAATTATGAACTTCTACGGGGGTCATTGAAAGATTAGTTGGACGGGTGGATTTGTATGATGTTATTTGTATGACATTAAAACATAAATTACAAATAAAAATATATAGCAAATTTTTCCGTCACACAAATCCATCCGTCCAACGAGAGCAAATAGATGTTGCCGATATTAATACTTTAAATAATATTTAGATAGGAGTTCTGACCCGATCGTGGTACCAGCAACTGGTTTCACAAACAGCTCTAAAATATTAATAGTAAAAACCGATAATTAGCAAGTTAAAATTATTACTTAAGTACTTATAGTGATTGTTTAAGTGCAAGAAATCATACGTGAGTAAAGAAAACTTTGATTTTGTTTGATTGCATGATAATAAACTAAATAAATTATTGTCGTAACTAACCTAACAATTTGGTTAAAATAAAAAGAGCAATTATCAAAATCTGGTTGCTCGTCAAGTTTTAAATAAAACAGATCCGTACTCAGCCGAATTGATGAAACCGAAAAATCGAAAACGACCAAAATGAATAGTAATAACGGCAATGTTATTATTAAGACTGAGAACTCACCAAACACTAAAAAATACTCCTCAGCATTGATTCACCCACCAACAACTTTTCCTAGCAAAGATCAGGCAATTATCTTTTCTGCAATATAGGGCCTCAAATTAAAAGATTATTTATTAGAACTGGGACCACTTGTAGATCCAAAAAACATAATTTTTTCATCCAGAATTTCAAACAACCGTGTTTGTGTATACTTATCAAGCAAATTAGCTGTAGACAAATTTTTAAAAGAACATAATTCCATTAAGATTAATAACACAGTAATACCAGTACGAAAGCTAGTTACTCCGTCACAAAGACTTGTTCTATCCAACGTAAGTCTCACAATTTCACATAATCTATTGGAAACCGAGTTAAAAATCATTGTATTACAGCTAATGTCACCCCTTACATTCTTACGAATTGGAGCAACCGATCCAGCATATGGTCGCATACTTAGTTTTCGAAGGCAGGTGTACATATCTCCTCCAGAAGATAGTTTCCAAATTCCCGATGCACTAGAAATTAATTATGATGACTTAAAATATCGCATATATCTTACAACAGATTCATTATGCTATAAGTGCAAGCAACCAGGTCATTTTGCATCTCAATGTGCCGGCCCTCAACTCCAAACTTCAATTTCTTCATATACTAGATCACAACAACAAAGTTCCTCTCTAAACCATTCCTTAGACAGCAATAATGTAGGTGAGTCTATATCAAATACTACTAACCCTGAAATGATATGTGAACAAACTCCAATTACCCCTACATTTAATGAGCCCAATCCCGACATACCCGCTTCTTTTGAATTTCAAACAACTCCGATAACTAAACCTACGACCTCCCAACGAAATTTATCTGAAATTGCACCACCTAGCCCAGAAGATACACCAGATATTACTAATTCCTCAGAACCAAAATCTCACTTTCCAACACCTGTTCCAAAAGTTCCAAAAAAAGTTGAAATTGAAAGATAAACCCTCATTAGAATTTCGAGAATTGTCCCAAAAGATAACCAATTTCATTGACAATCACAATCCCAAGTTCCCACTCGATAGTCAACAATTCACTGATCTGTTAGAGAACACTCACGGTAGTAATGATGCATTAAGCATTATAAAGACTATACCCTACATATTCCATCTCTTATAGAAATGATAAATGGAGTACATACCCAGGCTGAAGATCGAAATATGAAAATTAAATGTACTAGACTAAGCAAAAAATTAACTAAACAACTGATCGAACACGTTGGTTCATCTGACTTAGACAGCGATATATCTCAAAACTAATTATTTAAATAAAAATATAATTCATGTATAATAATATTCTACAGTGGAACATAAACAGTTTTCACACACGCCTACCCTTATTTCAGGTACTTATTAGGAAATATTCACCTGATATTATATGTCTTCAAGAAACTAATTTTAAAGGCAACAATGCATATAACTTGAGGTCATATGCTTACTATCAAAATAGACAGACAAATCAAGGCGGTGTTGCGATATATGCTAAAACCGATTTACAAGATATGTAACATTTATATTCTCTCGAACCAAAATATCCAAGAAAATGAACTTTCCGACTTAATTATGCAAATTCCATCACCAAAATTAATTCTCGGGGACTTAACAGCCATAATCATCTATGGGGTTCCGAAAAAACAACTAAAAATGGAAAGTTATTAGCAAACGTAATCAATAGCATGAATTTAACAATAATGAACGACGGAGCTAAAACTCGTTTCGACGCAGCTACTGGAAATTTTTCAGCTATCGACTTGTCCCTTTCTGACACATAGACGTTACTAAATCACACATGGCAAACCGTAGACGATTTATAAGGAAGTGATCATTATCCAATAATAGTAACAAAAATTTCCAACCCCACAACAAAAACCAATCCTTTGCAAAAGTAGAAAATTAAGCAAGCCAACTGGAACATTTTTAAAACAAAAATTATTGAAGAAATATCGAATATCCCTAAAATTGAAGAAGACATAAACTTAACTTTAAAATTGTTTTATAACTTAATCACTGAAGCCGCCACAATTGCAATGGGAAAAACAAAGTATATAACAAAAAACAAAGTTGTTCCCTGGTGGAACGAAGAGTGCAAATTGGCAATAAAACAAAGTAAAAAGGCTTTAAATACTTTCAAAACATATAAAACCAATGAGAACTTAATAAAGCTAAAGAAAAAAAGGGCATATGCAAAATTAATTACTTCCAAATCTAAAAAAGAATCTTGGAAAAAATACGTTCAAAGTATTAACAGGAATACAAACATGTCATCTGCAAGGAAAAAAGTAAAGAAGATATCTGGCGTCAGTACACAAAATGGAATAAAATACATAGAACGAAATGGAAACATAATTAATGAAAACAAAAAAATTGTAGAAGAATTAGCTGAAACTTACAGACAAAATTCTACAAATGAAAATTACAGCAATGTTAAAAGACACATCACCAGGTCCAGACGACATACCCGCAATATTCTTAAAACAGTTACCTAACGAAGCTTTAGACTTTCTATTGAATCTTTTTAATACAATCTGGTGTAAACAAAAATATCCTGACTTAAGAAGACAAGCTATTGTCATCCCTATACTAAAACCTAGCAAACCGGCTACAGCGGCAGAATCATATAGACCAATATCACTTACATGTTCTACTTGCAAACTGCTAGAGAAAATAATAAATAATAGACTTATGTGGCATTTGGAACATCACAATTTACTTATACCAGAACAAGCTGGATTTCGTCCTTTGAGATCTACTATAGACAATGTTTTACATTTAGAAAGTCAAATTAATTAAGCCATCTGTAACAAACAGAAATGCATAACTGTTTACTTTGACATCCACAAAGCATTTGTTGACTTAGCATGGCGACACAGAATATTAACAAAGCTGCAGACTTGGGGAATTCAAGGAAACATGTTGGCATTTTTGAATAACTTTCAAAATGAACGCAAATTTTCAGTACGTAGTAATGGAGAACTTTCTAGTATCAAATCTCAAGACAATGGAACACCACAATAATTAGCCTTACACTTCAAATTTTGGACGATGGACTAACGACGTCCCTAGCCATTTCCTTCAGGTTGTATTAATCAGGCTCCGATTAGGACACAGCAAACTCACACATGAATATCTCATGAAGAAGGAACCTCAACCAAAATGTACGAGTTGTGACGTGCCGTTAACACTAAAACACGTATTAACGGAGTGTCAAAAATATAGTACTGAAAGACTAACTAATAAAATTCCATCAGTTATAAGGGACATCTTTAGTGAGTGTACCAGTGAAAATATTGTGAAATTTCTTAAGGACATTAATATTCTTAACAAAATATAAAATTTATTTATAAGTTACTTATCTCATGTTTATGTTTATGTCGCTAATAACCCCAGAGGTTGAAACTACCTGCTGACAAGTTGTGGTCTCAACTGGTTTTTTCTTCGTTTAGATGTTATTTTTTTTAACCTAGATATTTTTCCCAGAGAATTGTGTAGGGGAATATTTTACATAAATTTCAATTTACAACCTCTTTAATCCAAACTATCGGTGAATAGTTTAAGATAAAAATTATGTTTTTATGTGATTAGGCCTCAATTATTGGTTGTAATTGTGATGAGAATCACATTTTTAATTAACTAATGTTTCGACATTTTGATTTTCTTTCCGGAAATCGTTCTCAAAAAACTTTTTTTTGTACAAAATGTGTGTACACATTTTTACATAATTTGTACAATAAACAATAAATATTAGTTAATTAAAAATGTAATTTTCATCTCAATAACAAGCAATAATTGTGGCTTAAATACTTTTTCAATATCCTCCTCCTAAGTGCGTTCTCTATTGAGGTTGGCGATCAATATGGCAAATTTCTCTCTGTTCTGTGCTTGATGGATTAAGTCATTTCCTGTTGTGTGAGTCCAATCTCCAATGTTTCGGAGCCAGGATTTCTTCTTTCTTCCTATATCCCTTTTACCCTAGATTTTGCCTTCTAATATTACCTGGAGCTGCTCAAATTCCTTATGGCGCATTATGTGTCCTAGATATGACGTCTTTCTAATTTTGATTGTATTAACTTTTTCAATATAATTAGAGGATTTCAAGACAACTACTGTGTTTCCTTTGTCTGCTTTAGTTATTATTAAATTATTCTCTATTTTTTTATTTATAGATTTTATGACATGTTTGAAGTTGTTATTATATCTGAAAGCAGTTCTGTGGTTATGATTATTGTTCAATTTTTCCATATCTTTTCTAAATAAAACCTTTAATTTATCCCTAATTTCTTCAGTGTTGTTATTTGGGATTGATGTTAAGATACTTTCACATTCTGCTCCAAGTAACTCTAGATTTTTTAGGTGGTGTTTTCTAGAATCTAGGGGGGGGGGGTGTTCAATTTAAATTCCTTTTGGAGTAAATTGGTTGAAAACACTGTTGAATAGTTAATGAACGGCTCATAAAAAGAGTTTTGTGTTCAGGGCTATTTGAGTATTCGCCTAGGTCAGAAAAGAAAGATGTGTTGGGACTGGGAGTTTGATTGGGTGTTTCGTTCAGACTAGAAATAGAAAGGTTATTCATTAATTGTTTAATTGTTCTGAATGAATTGAAACATCTATGGAATCATTATACGAACTAAGCATATGTGAAAAATTGTGATTATGATTATTTGACATTTATTGTATTGGTTTGTTTTTTACCTTAAATTGATTTTTGTTCGTGATTTTCTGTATTGTCTCATCCTAAGGTAATCCAATGTAGCATGCAGATTGCACATCCACTCATCAAACTCCTGTGGGGTCAGTTTGTAACCGTTTCAAAAGTTTTAGGAAATTCATTATAAATTCGATTATTTTTTTAAATAAAACTGCTAACCCCATCTATCTGTCGGGTACTTGTAGCCGACTCAAGGTTTCTACTGTAATTCTAAACCTATCCGGTAGATGAAAACGATTATTAACTTGTCAATCACTCCCCAATTCAAACTGGTAAATTATAGCGTCTGTCTCTTTTCTCTTACAAACATCCAACTGTTAGTACGTGTTTTGTGAAGTGGTCTCTATATAGAGGTAAGCCAAAGAAAAAAGGCCTTTTTTGTCTATATTTTCAGATAAATAATTATTTTTAGACCTTTTACCGGGGAGGATAAAAGATCATTGATTATGTTTATTTGGCTCGAAGTTAACTGAGAAGTCATATGCTGTCGTAAACGCAGCCCAATATTTTATTATGATCTAAATGGACCACTAATAAATAATTTAATGAAATACTTGGAAGGTGAGAGGAAACAGAACATATCCTTTTTGTATGGTTGCCAGCTATTGGATGATTAAGGTTGTACCATTCTTTTTTATTATATCCTATCGAGAAAGCGAGAAATAATTATGGACTCAGAGAAAGAAAATATAGCAGTGTTTTAATTTTGTTTAAAGATTTAATTTTTCTATTATGCCTAGTTAATAAATAACTACTATATTTTAAATGTACACGAATTTCGAAATTTTTAAATAATATATAAATTCATTTGTTTTTAACAACCAATTCTTGATTTAATACGATATAAAGTTGTTTTGTTTATAGTAATGTAATTATGAAATGGTATTTTAGTATCCTTTGTAATAACATAACTTTTAATGTTTCTTTTTATTACTGAGAAATAATAAAGTGTAATTTCGCTGTAAACTTTCTATATATCTTATTTTTTATTCTCTCTTGTCCCCTACGAGGATAACAGGGGGTGGCGTCCAATAATAAATTATAATTTCACATTATCTGATTGTGTTTGGATTTTTGAGATATTACGTAATTTCTATACATTTCGGCGTACCCCGCCATTTCTCTCCGACATTGAGCGATTCTGGCCTTGAATTTAATTTGTGTGCTGGATGTTTATTAAGCATCGTGGGGCGTGTTTTAGATTTGTATTAAATTCTTCGTTGTAGTATGTTTATGTTCG